GAAATCAATTGAACGATTAACAAATTTCTAGAACGTTTTTATGTTGAAGTGAAAGAGGAAACAAATGGTTCTCCAATACCTCTTTGAATGGTTTTAACAAAGCTGTCTGGTACAATCTAGCAATCAATATCCATACTGTATACTACATAATTGCATAGATATTTATCACAATAGCCCTTCCTCGTGTGGTCGGATGTGTCACTTCCCTTGTGACATAGATATCTGGCTTCTCTAGGTACAGTCAATATTGACGAAAAGGAAGCATTGTATCCCTAAACAGCCACAAACTGGCCTATACAGTCAATGAATTCTCCTACAAGATGTTATAATTCTCTAATTGACTCCGCGTGAAACAAGAGTGTCGTTGTTAACCTACACCCAGTCAAAGCCAGTTTAAATCGTAACAAGGGAGATAACTGCTGTTTCAGTTTGAGTGAGCAAAGACAATAATGGGTACGGCTCAATACAATAATTGTTGAATATGTGGATTATAAGAAAGCCGTATAACACCACCTGTGTACTATTTCAACGTTGTCATATTATGTTTTCTTTGAGTTTAAAGGTTGACACATGGCACAGAAATTCTCTGTATTCAACATGTCGGATTAGGGTAGAATATTTCCAGCGTTTGATTTTGGTCCACCTGTATAATCAGACCGCTTTCTCTGAGATATTCCAATAAAGAGACATTAGGGAAGCCAAGGTAACGTCCGCTGTATATGGTTGTGTAACCTTTAAAAGGTCTATCGAGTCGAGTGATGAATGAATGCTAATGAACACTGCCATAGTCAATAGTGTGATTGTCCTGGTCAGTTTAAATCTCTTGATTTTAGCCGCGTTCTAAATAAAACTACAAGCAAAAGTACACATCTTAATCAATAACTATACGAGTCACAATTTAAGTCTCTAATAAGAAATTGATTTGATCATGATTAAACAAAGCATGCTTTAGTATGTGATGATGAGTGTTACACTAATGAAAACAGATATATGATATACGTTTACACATAGTATACGTAACAACGACAAAGACGTATCCAGTAAGCTTGTGTTGCTAGAAATGTAAGACATTAGATAAAAATCAATAGGAAGTTCCGATGATAGAGACATTGTCAAGAGACAGGAATTTATCTATCAGTGACGAGTGTAGTAGCCAAATTCGTGAAGGCCCTTCTCGTTAGAACTTAGACGGATGTCATTTTGTACATCAAACAAACCGCGACACCTTTCGTGATCACATCAATATGTCAATACATCGATATGGATTGTACATATAGGGTATAGAACTTTTTTATGAAGAATTTGGTAATAATCTGACGTTTTCCAGATTGCCCCATTTAAAAGTTTTAAAGATAACAAACAGAATCAGTTTTCTTAAATATATATATATAACACGTATCAAACACAGCGTGGAAGTTTTTTTAAGTGAATGTTTTATTACATTTTGATTTCAAACTAGAAAGATAAAATATGCTTGTCCATTTGCGAATATCCACAGTTTCGTTTGATTAAACGTTTTTGTTTGAACATGATGGGATATCATTAAAAAAAACCCCAAAAACTTGAAAACAGAAATCAGTTATGTTAGGTGAGTCGTTTAGGTTGATTACTGATCACTGAACCGTGTTAGTTGATTACTGACCACTTAACCGTATTAGTTGATTACTTACCACTGAACCGTGTTAGTTGATTACTGACCACTGAACTGTGTTGGTTGATTACTGACCACTGAACTGTGTTGGTTGATTACTGACCACTGAACCGTGTTAGTTGATTACTGACCACTGAACTGTGTTGGTTGATTACTGACCACTGAACCGTGTTAGTTGATTACTGATCACTGAACCGTGTTAGTTGATTACTGACCAATGAACCGTGTTAGTTGATTACTGACCACTGAACTGTGTTGGTTGATTACTGACCAAACTGTGTTGGTTGATTACTGACCACTGAACCGTGTTAGTTGATTACTGACCATTTAACCGTGTTAGTTCATTACTGACCACTGAACTGTGTTGGTTGATTACTGACCACTTAACTGTGTTAGTTGATTACTGACCAAACCGTGTTAGTTGATTACTGACCAAACTGTGTTAGTTGATTACTGACCACTGAAACGTGTTAGTTGATTACTGACCACTGAACCGTGTTAGTTGATTACTAACCATTGAACCGTGTTAGTTGATTACTGACCACTGAACCGTGTTATTTGATTACTGACCACTGAACTGTGTTGGTTGATTACTGACCACTGAACTGTGTTGGTTGATTACTGACCAAACTGTGTTGGTTGATTACTGACCACTGAACCGTGTTAGTTGATTACTGACCATTTAACCGTGTTAGTTCATTACTGACCACTGAACTGTGTTAGTTGATTACTGACTACTGAACCGTGTTAGTTGATTACTGACCACTTAACCGTGTTAGTTGATTACTGACCACTGAACCGTGTTAGTTGATTACTGACCACTGAACCGTGTTAGTTGATTACTAACCACTGAACCGTGTTAGTTGATTACTGACCACTGAACCGTGTTAGTTGATTACTGACCACTGAACTGTGTTGGTTGATTACTGACCACTGAACTGTGTTGGTTGATTACTAACCACTTAACCGTGTTAGTTTATTACTGACCAAACTGTGTTGGGTGATTACTGACTAAACTGTGTTGGTTGATTACTGACCACTGAACTGTGTTGGTTGATTACTGATCACTTAACTGTGTTAGTTGATAACTGACCACTGAACCGTGTTAGTTGATTACTGAGCACTGAACTGTGTTGGTTGATTACTGACCAAACTGTGTTGGTTGATTACTGACCATTTAACTGTGTTGATTGATTACTGATCACTGAACTGTGTTAGTTGATTACTGACCACTGAACTGTGTTGGGTGATTACTGACCAAACTGTGTTGGTTGATAACTGACCACTGAACCGTGTTAGTTGATTACTGACCACTGAACCGTGTTAGTTGATTACTGACCACTGAACCGTGTTAGTTGATTACTGACCACTGAACCGTGTTAGTTGATTACTGACCAAACTGTGTTGGTTGATTACGGATCACTGAACTGTGTTGGTTGATAACTGACCACTGAACTGTGTTAGTTGATTACTGACCACTGAACCGTGTTAGTTGATTACTAACTAAACTGTGTTGGTTGATAACTGACCACTGAACCGTGTTAGTTGATTACTGACCACTGAACTGTGTTGGGTGATTACTGACCAAACTGTGTTGGTTGATAACGGATCACTGAACTGTGTTGGTTGATAACTGACCACTGAACTGTGTTAGTTGATTACTGACCACTGAACCGTGTTAGTTGATTACTAACTAAACTGTGTTGGTTGATAACTGACCAATGAACCGTGTTAGTTGATTACTGACCACTGAACCGTGTTAGTTGATTACTGACCACTGAACTGTGTTGGGTGATTACTGACCACTGAACCGTGTTAGTTGATAACGGATCACTGAACTGTGTTGGTTGATAACTGACCACTGAACTGTGTTAGTTGATTACTGACCACTGAACCGTGTTAGTTGATTACTAACTAAACTGTGTTGGTTGATAACTGACCAATGAACCGTGTTAGTTGATTACTGACCACTGAACCGTGTTAGTTGATTACTGACCAAACCGTGTTAGTTGATTACTGACCACTGAACCGTGTTAGTTGATTACTGATCACTTAACCGTGTTAGTTGATTACTGATCACTTAACCGTGTTAGTTGATTACTGACCACTGAACTGTGTTAGTTGATTACTGACCACTGAACTGTGTTGGGTGATTACTGACCAAACCGTGTTAGTTGATTACTGACCACTGAACTGTGTTGGGTGATTACTGACCACTGAACCGTGTTAGTTGACTACTGACCACTGAACCGTGTTAGTTGATTACTGACCACTGAACCGTGTTAGTTGACTACTGACCACTGAACTGTGTTGGGTGATTACTGACCAAACCGTGTTAGTTGACTACTGACCACTGAACCGTGTTAGTTGATTACTGACCACTGAACCGTGTTAGTTGACTACTGACCACTTAACCGTGTTAGTTGATTACTGACCACTGAACTGTGTTGGTTGATTACTAACCATTGAACCGTGTTGTTGGATTACTAACCACTGAGCTATGTTAGAATGATAAAAGAGCTTCATGAAATATGCGATATTTTCTGTGGCTTACAGTAGTCTTTACATATATGGTGAATGAAGAAGTCAATATTCTCCCTGTCTGTTTAACGTCTTTATAAAGCTTGTTTATCTCCATCACTAATCCTTTATCAAATTGACCATGTCACTTCATACACACAGCATGGCACTGCATTACTTAGGTACATAGATTAGTGCCTGTCAAAAATTCGTTTCTGACACATCCATACAGAATGTGTATTTTGATAAATGAAATACAGTTAGTTTGTAAACCATATGATAAGGTTCTTACTTCAAGACAACATTGATAGTACCGTGTAAAATTAGTCTATAATACTCGTGTATGTTATCTATTTCCGCCCGCCCGTCCGTCCGTCTGTCCATCCATCCGTCAGCTTCGTTAGAATAGCTGTCCTTTCATGAGTTAAGATACTTCATAATGGAACACACACTTACGATATTAATGTTTAGAAGAGAAATGTTTCTGCTGTAATTTATTTTTAAGTAAATAAAACTAAGCATCAGCTGTGAGTTATTTTTTTTGATGATTTAATACATTGACTAAAGAAGACATGCGGCAGTTTAAAAATTCCCCATTTCAAAATATCATAGGAAAGTGATTGTCGAAACATAAATGGTACAAGTAAGCTATATAGATGAATGGTTTTTCCATCCATTACTCATATAGTAGGATCATTTAGACCTTCAAATCAAATGGCAAATGTATAAAATATAGGAAAATTTCAAACATCTTCTGCTTCATAAATGTATTTGCAGTAGTTGCACATAGTAAAAACACACACTTTATATTGCGTCGCTAAGGTCGTTTTCAATGAATGAGTCTTCTTGTGTGGCGCCTCCTCTTCTTAATACGATTGTACTTGTATAAACACACAATGATGACAACGATGAGGATACAACATACGACTCCAAGCACTACAGCCACAATAATCAGCGTCGTTTTGATGCTTTCTTCCTCCACAGGCGCCGTGTCTGTTACAAACATGTGGATAATGAAGATAAAAAAAAAAAAATTCAAAATTCAATACTTTTATAAAAAAACACCTTCGGAATCATGTAGATGTTTAGATCAATTTAAACTGAAGTAGAAAAGGGAAAAATATGTATATCTGACACAATAATTGAAACAATCGTTAGTTAATAACAGATAATTCAATAGAAGAATACTCACAACAGCTCGCTGTAAAAGAAGAACACAAACAATAAAAATGCTTTTCTTTACATACAAACAGTTGTGTGGAAATCTAAAGCATTTCTCAGTATTATCAGTATGTAAATCTATTGAGAAGTACCAGTATTGATACAAACAGTTGTGTGGAAATCTTAAACATTTCTCAGTATTATCAGTATGGAAATCTATCGAGAAATAATCGTACTGATGAAAGTATGAACTTAACAACAATTAGACAAGGAATGATTGTACAATTAAACCAAACCTATTCAAAGTCTATAATATCAGTAAACATTTCTACACAAAATTCCACGCATTGAATTAAGAATTTATAGAAAGATAAAACGTGTTATATGATGTCATTGGTTAAATTACTCACAGGCCTCGTCATTCTGTAGAGATGTGACGTAACCACCGGTGGGGACTATCAGAGGAAGTTGCCCAGATTGACATTCCATAGGACTGACGCTCACTAGGACGTATGTACCGCTACTGAACAACACCTGTAAAAACAAAGGTTTTAACTAGCTAAGGACATACCGATACTGTACAACACCTAACATAAAGGAGGTTTTAACCTACTACCGACATACCTATACTGTACAACACCTATCATAAAGGAGGTTTTAACCTACTACCGACATACCTATACTGTACAACACCTATCATAAAGGAGGTTTTAACCTACTACCGTACATACCTATACTGTACAACACCTATCATAAAGGAGGTTTTAACCTACTACCGACATACCTATACTGTACAACACCTATCATAAAGGAGGTTTTAACCTACTACCGACATACCTATACTCTACAACACCTATCATAAAGGAGGTTTTAACCTACTACCGACATACCTATAATGTGCAATACCTAGAAAGGAGGTTTTAACCTACTACCGACATACCTATACAGTACAACACCTATCATAAAAGAGGTTTTAACCTACTACCGACATACCTATACTGTACAACACCTATCATAAAGGAGGTTTTAACCTACTACCGACATACCTATACTGTACAACACCTATCATAAAGGAGGTTTTAACCTACTACCGACATACCTATACTGTACAACACCTATCATAAAGGAGGTTTTAACCTACTACCGACATACCTATACTGTACAACACCTATCATAAAGGAGGTTTTAACCTACTACCGACATACCTATACTGTACAACACCTATCATAAAGGAGGTTTTAACCTACTACCGACATACCTATACTGTACAACACCTATCATAAAGGAGGTTTTAACCTACTACCGACATACCTATACTGTACAACACCTATCATATAGGAGGTTTTAACCTACTACCGACATACCTATACTACCTATACTGTACACCTATACTGTACAACACCTATCATAAAGGAGGTTTTAACCTACTACCGACATACCTATACTGTTCAACACCTATCATAAAGGAGGTTTTAACCTACTACCGACATACCTATACTGTGCAACACCTATCATAAAGGAGGTTTTAACCTACTACCGACATACCTATACTGTACAACACCTATCATAAAGGAGGTTTTAACCTACTACCGACATACCTATACTGTACAACAACTATCATAAAGGAGGTTTTGACCTACTACCGACATACCTATACTGTACAACACCTATCATATAGGAGGTTTTAACCTACTACCGACATACCTATACTGTACAACACCTATCATAAAGGAGGTTTTAACCTACTACCGACATACCTATACTGTACAACACCTATCATAAAGGAGGTTTTAACCTACCGACATACCTATACTGTACAACACCTATCGTACAGGAGGTTTTAACCTACTACCGACATACCTATACTGTACAACACCTATCATAAAGGAGGTTTTAACCTACTACCGACATACCTATACTGTACAACACCTATCATAAAGGAGGTTTTAACCTACTACCGACATACCTATACTGTACAACACCTATCATAAAGGAGGTTTTAACCTATCATAAAGGAGGTTTTAACCTACTACCGACATACCTATACTGTACAACACCTATCATAAAGGAGGTTTTAACCTACTACCGACATACCTATACTGTACAACACCTATCATAAAGGAGGTTTTAACTTACTACCGACATACCTATACTGTACAACACCTATCATAAAGGAGGTTTTAACCTACTACCGACATACCTATACTGTACAACACCTATCATAAAGGAGGTTTTAACCTACTACCGACATACCTATAATGTACAACACCTATCATAAAGGAGGTTTTAACCTACTACCGACATACCTATACTGTACAACACCTATCATAAAGGAGGTTTTAACCTACTACCGACATACCTATACTGTACAACACCTATCATAAAGGAGGTTTTAACCTACTACCGACATACCTATACTGTACAACACCTATCATAAAGGAGGTTTTAACCTACTACCGACATACCTATACTGTACAACACCTATCATAAAGGAGGTTTTAACCTACTACCGACATACCTATACTGTACAACACCTATCATAAAGGAGGTTTTAACCTACTACCGACATACCTATACTGTACAACACCTATCATAAAGGAGGTTTTAACCTACTACCGACATACCTATACTGTACAACACCTATCATAAAGGAGGTTTTAACCTACTACCGACATACCTATACTGTACAACACCTATCATAAAGGAGGTTTTAACCTACTACCGACATACCTTTACTGTACAACACCTATCATATAGGACGTTTTTACCTACTACCGACATACCTATACTGTAGAACACCTATCATATAGGAGGTTTTAACCTACTACCGACATACCTATACTCTACAATACCTATCATAAAGGAGGTTTTAACCTACTACCGACATACATATACCGTACAACACCTACTGCAAGTACATTTATGAAGCAGAAGATGTTTGAAATTTTCCTATATTTTATACATTTGCCATTTGATTTGAAGGTCTAAATGATCCTACTATATGAGTAATGGATGGAAAACCATTCGTCTATATAGCTTACTTGTACCATTTATGTTTCGACAATCACTTTCCTATGATATTTTGAAATGGGGAATTTTTAAACTGCCGCATGTCTTCTTTAGTCAATGTATTAAATCATCAAAAAAAATAACCCACAGCTGATGCTTAGTTTTATTTACTTAAAAATAAATTACAGCAGAAACATTTCTCTTCTAAACATTAATATCGTAAGTGTGTATTCCATTATGAAGTATCTTAACTCATGAAAGGACAGCTATTCTAACGAAGCTGACGGATGGATGGACAGACGGACGGACGGGCGGGCGGAAATAGATAACATACACGAGTATTATAGACTAATTCTACACGGTACTATCAATGTTGTGTTGAAGTAAGAACCCTATCCTATGGTTTACAAACTAACTGTATTTCATTTATCAAAATACACATTCTGTATGGATGTGTCAGAAACGAATTTTTGACAGGCACTAATCTATGTACCTAAGTAATGCAGTGCCATGCTGTGTGTATGAAGTGACATGGTCAATTTGATAAAGGATTAGTGATGGAGATAAACAAGCTTTATAAAGACGTTAAACAGACAGGGAGAATATTGACTTCTTCATTCACCATATATGTAAAGACTCCTGTAAGCCACAGAAAATATCGCATATTTCATGAAGCTCTTTTATCATTCTAACATAGCTCAGTGGTTAGTAATCCAACAACACGGTTCAATGGTTAGTAATCAACCAACACAGTTCAGTGGTCAGTAATCAACTAACACGGTTAAGTGGTCAGTAGTCAACTAACACGGTTCAGTGGTCAGTAATCAACTAACACGGTTCAGTGGTCAGTAGTCAACTAACACGGTTTGGTCAGTAATCACCCAACACAGTTCAGTGGTCAGTAGTCAACTAACACGGTTCAGTGGTCAGTAATCAACTAACACGGTTCAGTGGTCAGTAGTCAACTAACACGGTTCAGTGGTCAGTAATCACCCAACACAGTTCAGTGGTCAGTAATCAACTAACACGGTTTGGTCAGTAATCACCCAACACAGTTCAGTGGTCAGTAATCAACTAACACAGTTCAGTAGTCAGTAATCAACTAACACGGTTAAGTGGTCAGTAATCAACTAACACGGTTCAGTGATCAGTAATCAACTAACACGGTTCAGTGGTCAGTAATCAACTAACACGGTTTGGTCAGTAATCAACTAACACGGTTCAGTGGTCAGTAATCAACTAACACGGTTCATTGGTCAGTTATCAACCAACACAGTTTAGTTAGTAATCAACTAACACGGTTCAGTGGTCAGTAATCAACTAACACAGTTCAGTGGTCAGTTATCAACCAACACAGTTCAGTGATCCGTTATCAACTAACACGGTTCAGTGGTCAGTAATCACCCAACACAGTTCTACCGACATACCTTTACTGCACAACACCTATCATAAAGGAGGTTTTAACCTACTACCGACATACCTATACTGTACAACACCTATCATAAAGGAGGTTTTAACCTACTACCGACATACATATACCGTACAACACCTATCATATAGGAGGTTTTAACCTACTACCGACATACCTATAATGTGCAACACCTATCATAAAGGAGGTTTTAACCTACTACCGACATACCTATACTGTACAACACCTAGCATAAAGGAGGTTTTAACCTACTACCGACATACCTATAATGTGCAACACCTATCATAAAGGAGGTTTTAACCTACTACCGACATACCTATACTGTACAACACCTATCATAAAGGAGGTTTTAACCTACTACCGACATACCTATACTGTACAACACCTATCATAAAGGAGGTTTTAACCTACTACCGACATACCTATACTGTACAACACCTATCATAAAGGAGGTTTTAACTTACTACCGACATACCTATACTGTACAACACCTATCATAAAGGAGGTTTTAACCTACTACCGACATACCTATACTGTACAACACCTATCATAAAGGAGGTTTTAACCTACTACCGACATACCTATACTGTACAACACCTATCATAAAGGAGGGTTACTGTACAACACCTAGCATAAAGGAGGTTTTAACCTACTACCGACATACCTATACTGTACAACACCTATCATAAAGGAGGTTTTAACCTACTACCGACATACCTTTACCGTACAACACCTATCATAAAGGAGGTTTTAACCTACTACCGACATACCTATACTGTAAAACACCTATCATAAAGGAGGTTTTAACTTACTACCGACATACCTATACTGTACAACACCTATCATAAAGGAGGTTTTAACCTACTACCGACATACCTATACTGTACAACACCTATCATAAAGGAGGTTTTAACCTACTACCGACATACCTATAATGTACAACACCTATCATAAAGGAGGTTTTAACCTACTACCGACATACCTATACTGTACAACACCTATCATAAAGGAGGTTTTAACTTACTACCGACATACCTATACTGTACAACACCTATCATAAAGGAGGTTTTAACCTACTACCGACATACCTATACTG